TCGGGATCGATGGCGTGGGAGCCGTAGGTGTGAGCGTGGCGGAGGTCCTCGACGTCCTCGGAGAGGTTGCCAAAGAGGAAGATGTTGCTTTCACCGATTTCACGCGTGATCTCAATCTGTTGTCATTAGAGGTCTGAAGCACACGGTTACATACTGAATCTTGCAACGCTGAAGACTTACGTTGGCGCCGTCGCATGTACCAATGATGAGGCCGCCGTTGAGGACAAACTTCATGTTGCTGGTTCCAGAGGCCCTGTGAAAACGTCAGTACAATTCCGTTCATCGAGAAGAAGCCTTCTGCCCCTCCCCCCCTTGGTTGTCTGGGACGAAACAGAGCAATGGCGAGGGGGAACATACTCTGTTCCGGCGGTCGAAATATGCTCGCTAATATCCGAAGCAGGACATATCATTTCCGCCTTGCTCACGTTATAATCCTCCAAGAAAATAACTTTGAGCAAGTCACCAATATCCTCGTCCTTATTCACCACCGCGCCGACCGAGTTGATCAGGTGGATAATCTGCTTGGCCATCCAATACCCCGGCGCAGCTTTGCCGCCAAAGATACTCACGCGCGGCAACTGCTTCTTCCGTTGATCGGGTGTCATGGCCTTGAGGCTCAGATACCGATGAATAACGCCAAAGATGTTCAGCTGCTGACGCTTATACTCGTGGATACGCTTGACCTGCACGTCAAACAAGGAGGCAGGATTGACAACAACGCCAGTAGTGTCCTTGATGTGCTTCGCCAGACGCACCTTATTGGCGTACTTGATCTCGGCCCACTCCTTGCGAAACTGCTTGTCTCCAATGTGCTTCTCCAGCTGGTTGAGAAGCGTTAGGTCCTTGAGGAAGTCTTTGCCGCCGCATTTGGAGGCAATCAGTTCGGACAGGCGGGGGTTGGCTTGGTGCAGCCAGCGGCGTGGTGTAATGCCGTTGGTGACATTGGTGAACTTGTCCGGGCCGTAGATTTCGACAAAGTCCTTGAAAATGGTGGTCTTGATGAGGTCCGAGTGGAGTTCCGCCACACCATTGACCTTGTGAGAGCCAACAATGGCCAGGAACGCCATGCGTACCATCTTGGGCTGGGATTCCTCAATGATGGATACCCGGCGGAGAATGTCTCTGTCGTTAGGGAAGGCCTTTTCCACGCTTTGCAAAAAGAATAGGTTGATGTCGTAGATGATCTGGAGGTGCCGAGGGAGCAAGTGCTGGACGAGACCGACGGGCCATTTCTCGAGGGCTTCGGGGAGGACCGTGTGGTTGGTGTATCCAAACTACCATTGATCCTCATTAGCTTGTCATCCAGAAACATGACGCAAACATACACAGTAGAGGGGGCGCTTTACAGTGCTCGTCACAATTTCCCACGCAAGATCCCACTCCAAACCCTCAACATCGACCAGAATTCTTTGCAACTCCACAATCGCCAGCGTAGGATGTGTGTCATTCAACTGGATCGCCACCTGGTCAGGAAACTCGTTCCATGACCTCCTGGATTTCTTGAACCTGCGCACAATATCATACAGCGACGCTGCTACCCAGAAGTACTGCTGCTTCAGACGCAATTCCTTGCCGCGCTCAAGGTTATCATTGGGATACAGCACCGCGCTTATAGTTTCTGCGCGCTGTTGATCCGCCACGGAACTCTCATAGTCGCCGTTGTTGAACTTCTGGAAGTCGAATTCTCCGCCAGAGGCTTTGCTCGACCATAGGCGGAGGTTGTTGGTCGTCGGAGTGTCGTAGCCTGGGATGGGGACATCGTAGGCAACGGCTTGGACAATTTCGCCGGCTTCCCAGACGGATATAGTTTTGCCGCCGTCTGTTTTCTTGTTGACCTGGCCGAAGAATTGGATCTACAGGCAACTACACGGTTAGCGAGGTGGTGTTTCGGAAGATACGAAAGAGACATACGTCTACGGTCACATCGTGACGGGGAAACTCCCAGGGGTTAAAATCCAACCAGTAATCAGGCACTTCGACCTGATATCCGTCAATAATCTCCTGCTTGAAAATGCCGTAGCGATATCGTAGGCCGTAGCCCCATGCGGGAAAGTTCAATGTAGCCAGACTGTCCAGGAAGCAGGCGGCCAGGCGGCCCAGGCCACCGTTTCCGAGGGCAGCATCATGCTCTTGCTTGATCACATCTTCGATTCTGAAACCAAGCTCGGAAAGGCCATCTTGCCAAAAGCAGACGCAAAGTCAGCCACTTACATACAATCCCAGTCATCAGGTGCGAAAGTACGGAGAGGCTGCATACCTTGGGCGACGTTCTTCAAGCCAACATTCAGCATTGCGTTATCCAGGGCCCTGCCCATCAAAAACTCCAGGCTCAGATAATACACTCTTTTGGTATCGCGGTACGTCTGACGCTGCTGCGTCCTGTTCCAGTGAGTGATGAGACGGTCGCGAAAGGAAAGGCTCGTAGCAGAATAAGCCGCGATTTCGTCGCAGTTGAACATGCTTCGGGCGAGGGTAGTTTCCACATGGCGCACGACTTCCTTTTCGAAACCGTCTTTGTCAGTGAAACTGGTTATTTGGTTTCGCTTCCAGGCTTCCCGCTGAGGCTCGGGGATGGAGGCTGCAAGTCGATTAGCTGCAGTCTCCAGCAGACAGGGGTGCGCCCGAGTACAAGCATTGTGTGAGACAACATGGGCAGGACAAAGTCGAGTCGACAAACCGTCTTCCACCGTGTACTCGGCAGTTATTACAACAGCACTCACCCTCAACACTCTTGATTTCTCCGGCCCCAAAGCCCGTAAAGGTCCTCTTGTGCTTCGGACGAGAGATGCCGGCAGGCCCAACACCGCCAGTAATATCCACAATGGGAGCTGAGGTGGAGGGGCGACGTTCCCTCATCGGCAGTCGTTGTTGTTCAGTAGCCATGGTATCGACGTCTAGTAATTTCAAATTTCAAATATCAGCCAGTCTTTCGCGATGGCAGCTTTCCCAAACTTCAATTGCATTTGAGCAGGCTCGGAGAGCAAATGTCACGCACTGGGCAGAGCTTCGGCCTCCCTCGAGCCCCGGGTAAATAGTGGGCAGTTACAGCTGCGGAGGAGAGCTATGGTGGGGTGAAGAGGGTGAAGAGGTGAAGAGAGTGATGAAAGCGGGGTGGTGGATGGCACGAAGCACGGCAAGGACCAAGGTGAGCTTGACGAGAAAAAGAAATGTCAACGTACACAGACTGGGACTTGAAATGGTTACACACTTTATGTGAAGGGTAACGCGAGCAAGAGAGGGGGGTATTAAAAAGGGCAACAACCGAGTTTATGACACCAGACACTACAGCCACATATACTTTCCATTCCGTCATTGTGGCCTTGTCCATCGTCCATCCATGCATCCCAAGCTTTTTACATGTACGGCGGTCCAGATTGGTACGCTGGACCTGGAAACGCCATCGTACACACGTACACCAACGGCAGCCCGGCCACTCCGGAGCAGCAACTTACCAATGACCACGGTATCTAGCAATGCAGACTGGCGCAGCACGCATTGAGTGGACGTGTCTTCTCATCGTGCTGCTTCTTTGCCATGCCACGACGACCTCCTCTCAGCACGTCTACAAATTATGCAGACGTCATTCTGCATCCCGACTCTCCTCAACGTTGGCCCTGGCTCTACCCCGTAGGTGTCCTGATGTGTGGAGAGGCATTGTCCGGACGATGGAGCTGTCGAGCTATTCATACCATGCGGTCCCACAACCGTTTACCGTCCAGCCGCCTTGGCCACTAGCACAAGGCGATAGCTGGCATCAACTCCCTATTGGATGTTTCCGCTGTCTGGCCTGTGCTAGACGCGGATGGCTACTTTGGTATTGCAGCCAGTACCAAAGGCATACCGAGTATAGCTGAAGCTGGCCATCAAACGAAAAGATTTTTCTTCTAAAAAAAGGGAAAAAAGCACAGAAAGGGGGTGAGACAGAGAGTCTAGCAGTACACGCTTAATATTTACCGAAAACGAACTCATCATGCTGGCATTTTTTACACGGCTGGGGTATCCGGGACTATCGTGCTCCCCGCTGCTCAAAAGCAACCCACCACCACACACCCGTATCAACTCTGCAATCATTCGAGGCCTTTTCTTATTTTTATTGACGCCAACCGCGAGTCCTGACCTTTCTCTCTCCAGGGATCCTGACATTTCCGCAATATCCAAATTGTAGAGAACTCGCCCTCCGGATAGTCATATCAAACATGTCGTCATTCCAGTCCTCACAAGACTTCATCATTATCCGATGTACTGAATTGCATGGTCTTGTCTCCATTCAAGTCCTCCTTTTCTTATCGCCGTTGTGCCGTAAACGCCAAGCCACTGTGAAGGGCTGAAGGTCGCACATTCAAGTCTGTGTACGCGCGCCTGCGCTTGCAGGGGCTGCCGAGTAGCAAAAGGCTCGGCACGACTGACGTTTGTCGCTGTGACTGGGTGAATTAATATTGCCATCTGTATTGGCCGGGTCGTGAAGCAAGTAAAACAGAAGAAAGCCGCGTCCGTGGGCATCACCAAACATACGAAAATAGGAACGCCTCCCTAAAACTCCATGAAATGCTCTAGGACGCCAGCACCCTGTAGTCCGCCTGCTCAAATCATGAACATAGTACAGCGGTCTCCATCATAGGATTCCCGAGTCCTTCAGAGCATTATTTAAGATGGTTTCTTTGACGGCGGCAAAGACGAGTCGGATATTCGACGTGTCTGTAGCTTGCGTCAAGCTGAATTCGGTTGTCAGCGCACCGGCTACGCATTACTTGGCCAAAATGACAAGACTTACTGAGGGTATAGATTCAGATGTGCTCGGTTCACCTGATTGAATCGCCACAACAGGTATTTTGCGGCCTTGTTCACGTCGTTTCCTCCCGAATAGTCTGGGAAATAATTTCCCAATGGCGACCGAGTCAACTTTTGCTTGAAAATATCAACCTTGTTGAGGAACAAGATGATGCTAGTCCTCATGAACCAGCGCGAATTCACCACAGAATCGAACAGCAACAAACTTTCCATCATACGGTTCTACGATAGTCGGTCAGTCTTAGGAGCTCGTGATGCCCAGCAAGTCGATATTGGCTAACCTGGCTGCTCTCCTCGAGGAGAACCTGGTCATATTCGGAGAGAGCGACGCAGAAAATAATTGACGTAACATTCTCAAAGCAGTGAATCCACTTCTTTCTCTCGCTTCGTTGCCCACCGACATCAAACATACTATCCGGAAGTCAGCATTGACGTTTGATGGGGAAATGCCCAAGTATAGACGCACTGAATACTCAACTGGCCCATTTGAAACCTCGTTTCGTATATGCCAGTGGTTTTGGTACGAGCTCGCAGCACATCCATTTCGTTCGGTAGGTAGTCGGGGGCAACTATTCTCAACACCTCCTGGAAGAAGCTATTGACACTGTGTTAGAGTTTGGGTCTGAAGATTCAGAGACAGAGATGCTGCTCACTATTCTGCAGAATCCATTAAATAGAATTCGGTCTGGTGCTCCATCAACCGCTCTCTCGCAGGGTCGGCCCACAGCGACTGAATAGCTGTGCCAACTTGGGGATCAATGTGTGCCTGTGGTCCAGATTCGGCTTGATATTCCATCAAGTACTCGATATGTCGCTTATTCTCTTCCAGTTGCGGCTCAATGTCAAATTGTTGCATCGCGGTGATAACGGCCTTTGCGCATTCGACAAGGTTCTTAAATACGGTGGGTCGATAATTATACAATTCATCTTCTGAATATCCCTTGAGATGGATGATCTTCATCTGCTTGACGATGGTAGACTTTCCACTTTCTCCAGAACCTATTCAAACAACGGTTAGCCGGCGATAAGATGGTGCAACCGCCAAGTATCAAAGTCCCCGAGGAAGCTTTAGGTGCCATACCCAAGAGCAAAATTTTGCATTCTTTCCGTAGTCTTTTCGAATCCTCCTCTATTACTCTGTCGATGGCTTGACTCTTCTTCTTCTGTTCCGCCTCCTCGGTATTGGAGCTCATACACCCGCCCATGATGAAGACTTTTCTTCCTCGACGCTTCCACGCCGGCGCGAAGGAGGCTCAACACCAGGAGCTGGCGAGCTGTGCAGTCAATGGTTGTCGCTGATTGATGCAACTATTCACGCATTGCTGTCGTCGATTCGTCGCGGTGGAGATGCGCGGCAGCACAGCAAATCTGTGTCGATTGCTATCAATAACGAGCACCCCAGGTTGGTTTGGCCCCCCAGGTTGGTTTGGCCCGTAAGATGGCCCGGTCGTTGGTGTGTGAAGGTCGTGCAGCTGTCGAGCAGTATCAACAATGTACCATGAGCTAATATTATGTTGTATTGAGTCTCGTTCGTTCGTTCGCTCGCTCGCTCTGCTAGGCCACTTCCTTGCGGGGCCTGCTTACTCCGAGCTAAATCACGGCCAGGCGGAACTAGCGATTGTGAGTACTCGAGAACCAGGCTGGGGAACAGGAATAGTTCGAGCCTCGTTACTTCTGACAGAGTTGCCTTGTGTATGTTGCCAGTCAGAGCCGGGTCGCGGCAGAGGCGACGGGTCGGGAGCAATGGGCAACGACAGGAGCAGCAAGTGACGACCACGGGAGTAATGGATAATGAGTAAACCAGCGGGAAGACCTCTGAAAGGCAAGCAAGGTTCGCTAAAGGTAGGCTGTCAGCGAGGTGACCTCTCACTAGCCAGCTCGAGTGCTGCTAGGCAGGTGAGCGGCAGGCCCAGAGAACGACAGACAGGACGAGGTGTGACAAGGACCAGGACGGGGACCGGGTCCGGGTCGAAGCCACACCAATTGACGTGGAGCGACGGCGGGGGGGGTTGGGTGGATGGTTTGGGGGTTATGGTGGTTTGGTGAGCATTCGAGGACGGAAGGGTTGTTGGATACTCGAGGGTGGATGCTCGACGCTGCAACGGAGTTTGGTATGGAGCAACTCCGTGCTTGCAAAGCGAGTGAGGATGGAGCGAACTCTGGATGAATGTGGAGGCGGCGACTACTAGGTCCAGTCCAACCCCAAGCCAAGCTTTCTCCTCAATGTCACGGCGCCTCACGTCCGTGCCTCACTTCCAACTGCCCATATTACTCCGTGCTAGGACTGTCCGTCGTTGGCAATCGCCGGGCCTTGGTGGTCCGCGATGTTCGCCGCGAGGTCACGTAATGAGCACTCCTTAAGCCGATTCGACAGGTCGCTGTCGACACTCTTCAATTGTTTCTGCATCCCACAATAGACAACGACAGGGTCCCAACAGGCACAAGAACAGGCACCAGGTGCATGAAAAGAGGGGAAATGGAAATTATTGTACATACGGTGTACTGCAAATGCATTGCAGCCACAGGGGAGCGATTGATAACAACAGGACATCTGGACAGCCGTCATGATCCAACATCCAACATCCAGCAGTCATCAATCTACCGACCCACTGCCAGCTCAACATGAACGGACAGGGTAGGGTAGGGTACGGAGTAGTCCTAGCACGAATTACGCACGAATTACGCCGTACTCCCATGCTAGGTTTACTCCGTTACGGAGAGCACCCAGTCCCATGTGCCAAGACACCTGTGGGAGACCGCCGAACACAGGCAGGCTTTATGTCAATCTGCTGTTCCAGAACGGCGGGCTGGAATCTAAAATTATAAACAATATGGGCGATACGATATGTGAGCGTTCAGTGCGCAAAGTGGCCTGTCCACATCGCATGCCCAGACCGCGTAGCCGACTGAGTGTTCAAAGCCCTCCATGTCCTCCATGTTCCCGGGCGTTGGGTCATCATAATTTAATTGTTGTGGTTTGAGACTTGAGCCAAAGTAAGATGGCGAAAGGCCGGAACAACACGAAGCCGCGAGCGTCTGAAGCCTCTATTATTCCCAACGCTCACCACTAATTTCAGTCCTGGCCAGGCCAGACAGGTCAAGTAAATAATATGAAGCCCAATTCCCGGGCTCCCGGAGCGCCGGTGGCCTATATTCAAATCGCGCACACCTGTTTCGGGTCATGACGGTGCGGTGGGAGCAATAAGCATTTGCCCACACCGAGTGGGCAAATACTTGCTGCCCTAGGTATGTATGGCAGGCATATTATCAATCCAGCGTTGTTCGTTACATATCATGAGAAAAAATTTTGCCAATTACCGGCAGATATATGTATAAGCCTCACCTAACAGACCCAAGGTAATAATACTATTACGGAGTAAGTTGCTTGTACCACGTCCAGGAGTGTTTTGGGAGGCCTGAGACGAAAGATGCAATAACTTGCAGCCTCAGAGGTAGGACCTGATGTAGATAGCAGTCGGTATCATGAAGTACCGAGATAGGTATAGGCAAGCAATCAGACAAACATACCGGTACATACTGCACAGAGTGCATCTGTACATGCTGTACTCCGTAGATAGTTGCCCAGGTAGTCAAAGCGGTTGTTGTGTGGCATCCCGGATGGACTCCACAAGGCGCGTCTGCATGGTTTTAGGTTTTGAACACACTTCCAGAATGCAACAATGGAAGACTCGATACGAAGGCGCTCACAGGTCGAATTCGAGTCCACGACGGGCGCCTATTTTCTGAACACATCTGAGACGACGACTCTAATAGGTTCTCGGTTGTTCTTGTTGCTGTTTTTGGGAGGCATTTCCTGAATCTCACAATTCCTGGACGCATCAACCATGCAGAAATACCTAGCCCTTTTACCCAAACTGTCCAACGTACGTATGAGGCGCTAGTTGCTGGTCGCGTGTCTAGACCGCAGTTTCTCAGGTTGGCCACTGAGAATTACTTGCTGTGCGTGTGGTAGTATGTATCTTGTCGAAGCCGGGAACAACCTGGCAACAGGCAATTCGGATGAACAGGCAGCATTCGAGTCAGCTCAGCCCATTTGGCCTCGCCAAGGGTAGAGAGCTCAGCACCATTAGCAGCTTTCGATTACCGGCAGGAAGATCGGGCGATCATGGCGATGACATGTGTAATATACGGAATACTAGCCATTACTGGGGCTGATGTTCATATCTCAGCTAACTTGTTCTGTCAAGTCGTTTGGCCGTTGTTTTCTTTTTGGGATGGCGAACAGCCGACCACGCATGCGCTACTCCGTACCACTCCCACCATCTGTGTACCCCTGTTCATACCATTGCCCAGTTGAGATAGTACATGGTTAGTTATATTCTCTCCATGTCCAGTCGGGCGGGCGCACTAGAGCGAGGTTAGAACAGGGACGGAGTAAAAATAACGTTGTGGAGAACAATTTGCTCGTTGGCTTGCAAACCGCACAAACTGCTTGTGTAGGTCCCTGTGTCCATGTAGCTTGCCAATCTGCTAATGTCTATTGGAATATTGAAATGGTTGGAATAATGCGACTTGGCCAGCCTTGAAGCCATGGTCATTTCGTCATCCTGCAAGCTGACTCGATATGACTCGTCGACGACGGACCCGCCTGGATGAAGTCGTGTCGAGTGTCTCAGCATAATCATCTATCTATTCTGACAGCCAGGACCTCGGACTGCAAATTGCGCCCAGGCAAACGCGGCCCATCCGTACCGTCTCGACGACGTATATCCATCCCTACGGAGGATGTTGTCGACATGTAGCTATCCCATCGTTCATTGACCACTGACAGCAGATGGAAAACAAGAATTCGTGATTTAGTTCGAGGCACCTGCGAAACATCAGCTACCGTCGGTGTGCAATAGAAACATATCTAGCCGTCCATCAAGCACATAAGCGGACAGGGGGCAATGACTGTTCCTGAAACAAAAGTGTTCAGAAAGGCGACCACGAGGATTCCTCTCGAAGCTGTTGTTCAGACACAACGGATCATGGCTTGCATGGCGCCACCAACTCATGAGGCCGCCATGCATCGTCTGGTACTGCTACTAATACATGCTGCGCTCTGTGGGACACAGCACACAGTACAACAAGACCTGAGAGTAGACGGTAGGTTCCGCGGCCTGGCTTCAGCACCGTCTTACAATCTTGCATGGACGACCAGCCACGAGGTCTCAAACTTCACCCCAGAGTCCATCCACGCAGTCTTACTTTCTTGCCGTGTCATAAATAGCCACGGAATACAGAAGCCAGAATCCATCGGAGCGTCGGACTAGGCGGACCTGACCACGATTGGCGCGTGCTGGGCGAGGCGCGAGAGCCCAGACTGCCAGTGTGTTGACGATCAAGGGACCCAAGACAAGATCACCACGGGCACCCTGCTGAAGCAAGGTGAAACCTCCACTCAGTGTCCGCAGCCAGCGTCCATGTGCAATTTTAATATTTACGCCGGACGTCAGCAAGACGCAAGAATCATTGGCGTCGCTGAGTCCAGTCCGGTTCCATTGATTCGCTCTCACACCACTAATTATAGACCTAGACACTCATCGACTACTTGCATGAGGTGTTTGCGTGACTTAAAATCATCTTCATGAGGCGAACTCGAATATCAACAACATTTTTCCTTCTTTTATTAGACATGAACCACCAGGGGCCACTACAACATGGAGCGGAATCCCAGCAGTTGACCAGATGCGACAGGGGTTTACACGTGGCCCAATGGACCCAAAGCGTTGTGGCCTGGGTCAAGTTTTTTTGTAACACCTCAGTATTGAACTCTGCAGAAGTTACGGAGTACTACGGAGTACTGCGGAGTACAGAACTCACAAATGGAATGTGGTACGGAGTAGTCGCTGCCGGATCGTCTTTGAAGTGACAGTTCGGGTCCGTCCACGTGTTGACGTCTCTTCAGGATGGCAACCCCATGTGCTGGAAGCTGCATTCTGTATGCCGCGGAAGCACCACAGACCAGGCACTGGGTTGCAATGCGAGGACACAAGATGCATATATTGTGGTTGGGGTCCTGTTGTGAAACCAGGTAACGGCATGTCTCGAGTAGCCGGATTCCATGGAGACGAGGTCTTGTCTCATGCCCCCTTGCAACACAACAAGGGCGCCAGACGTGCACAATACAACCTCAAGTCTGTCAGAATCTCAGCAAGATAAGCTACTCCCCTCAGCAAATCATGAAATCAAGCATCTGAAGCCCCCTGGCAAGGGGCCCCCTTTGGTGGATTGGAATCAATAGTACTCCGTATTGGAACTGCGATTTGGTGGTGGTCGGATGTGGACCAGCCACAGACCAACAGAGACAGGGCGGCATGCATCAATATGTGTTGCCAAGATGGGTTACGTCAACGTGCGCTGATTGCGCAGAGTGCGAGAAGGCAGCCACACCGAAAACCTTGGACTTTCTGGTACCCCAATGTCCCTGGCCTTCACCGACCGGTGTCACGCATAAGCATGTGGCTTTGTACTCAGAGATCAGGATTGGGCCTTACCGGCTGGACAAGCGGTTGGAAATTTGTATCCCCCCCTGGCCATGTGGTGTCTTCATGGCTTTATTGCTAATTGTGAAGCTAGACATGTACCATTCCAAGGCTTACAAAGTAGGCTTGGGCCGAAACTTATGACAGGGCTACTACCCCAAGTGTCCAATTGTCAAATGGCCCTGTGCTCAAACGAAGTTGATTACTACTAGAAAACCCAGTGAACATTCAATCATGGTATTTCGTTCAAAAACAAAAGTCTAGCGACAAGGCATTATTCGTTCTTCATTTCACATCTTGAGTCAAATGGCTTCAGCGCACAATATGACACAAAAGGGCGGCATATCGCACCGAAGGCTTATGAGCATCGACTCCACGTTTTCCTCATCTCTACAGAGTACGGAGCGGTCAGTAACTTTCTCCTGGCATTGTATCAGACTACGGAGTAGAGCATGGGTGTACCCTCCTTGTTACCAACTCCATCAAACGCCACACGGCACTCAATCTGCTCCGTAGCGCAGAGAAATCGCCGCTTCATGTGATTCACAGTACGAGTGGCCCCTTTGGTCTTGGTTTCAAATAACTTCGACTGGGGATAGGCGGACCGTGCCGAGAAATAATAACAGGTATCTGTACTCCGTATCTTCTACTAAAACTACCACAACTACAACAAGAGCCAAACCCACTATGATACGGAATACTCCGTACCTAACTTCAATTTAAAGATCAAGTGCTTTGTTCGTCAGATCCGCTGGCATTCTTGCTGTTCTTCCTGCCTGCCTGATAAGACGAACCGTAGTCAACTCTCAAGCTCTTTAGCTCCCGCTTTTTTTCCCTCTCTCTTTTCTTCACCTCTCTTAGACCTTTTAGTACTAGTAGATATCACCTGGTTCCGTTGTTAATGCGCCTGCTACACATGCCCGGTGTCTTCATGGCGTGTTCTGCGTGTTCGGACATGACAGTCTACTGGTACAGAATGAATGGATCCTACTTTATACTTTGAATACTCACAGGAGACTCTGATAGACTTGTGTCTACGTGTGTCTTGCTGACTTGACTAAAAGCCGAAACACGCAACATCCCCAAGAGTAACTGCGCTAACTTGGGCGAATAGTTGGCCAATCGCACCCTCGACACAACAATGGTAGGGGAGGTACATCGGAGGTACACTAAACAATAAGCTGATTCCTCAAAATTGCTACTTGACTCCTTCATGAGTCATCTAGCCCTCACACACCGTATTATATTTCTTCAGAGGAACATGCTACTGCTAAGCACATTCACCCTCACAGCTTTCCGAATGTTTTGTGTTGCCACCGAAAAGGGCCAATGGAGATAATGTAAGATGCTTGGTTGCTACAAAATAGCACATGCAGGGCTAAACCCAGTTGAAAATGCCATCCGCATGAATCCATTCTCAACCCAGCACGGCCAGGCTGCAAAAGCTTGTATAAAGATTGGAAGCGTCCGGTCGAAATCTTGATGCTGTAACGACGGAGATGGGCTAACAATTGGCCGGGCATAATTGCAGTAGCTAACTGCAAACAATAACCCAAGCTCTCTCAAGGCTACAAAAGATTTGCGTTGATTCAGAAGACATCTACAGTCCGCCGCTAACCCTGTTTATAGTGTTACACCAGAAAAAATGTCCTAGTCGGGTAGTCAAGTGCCAATACTCACTTCAACGCGCGAAGATCTAAGCGCCGCGACATCTGGCATTCGCCCCCTCCCGGGCAAGCTCTGAAATTACCACAGGCTCTTTCCTCTTTTGGCGAGCCATTATTATGACATGTGAGCATATTCACATGTGTCTTTATCAATATGGCCGACGAAAGGCACTGCAGCTTATACTGTCGCTGACAGTCTGATGAGGGACATTGCCATTGCCATCATGACCTTTATTTTGGGCAATCTAGCCAGGGGGGGTGTGTACTTGGGTTAACCGAGGGACAGGCCGATGCCGATGGTGGGAGAAGATTCGGATGATCCTGCAAGTCCCGCTTGAATCAGAATATTCGGCATTGTTGGAGGGAAATGATCCATTTTATACGTCCAATGCTTGGATGGAAAACTACAACTCAACAGGATATTACTAGTCCCTGGTCTAACCACTGTTATTAGGCAGTTTGGCTTCTGAGGTAATTCTTAATTTCTTCATAGACCTGTTGCAGCTGCATTGTTGGTTATTTCGGACAGCAAAGACAAGTTGTCTCAGTTGGCCTGCATCTGCCCGGACTCGGTTTGTCGATTTAGGGTTTTAAAAAAAATACATAGTCTTAGAAAGATATAGGTGTAGTAGAAGTTGAACTGCTGGGTGTTGTTCACGCTCCTGTGGATATTGTGTACCAAAACTACTGTTGGACCTCGCTTCGGTGCCGTTGCAATCAGGTTCCGCGGGAGCAAGGTTCTTTGCAATGCTTGTTGCCACTTATAGTATAATAGTCAGCTATGACCAAAGCAAGTGTCTTCAAGGTTTACACGACCACACGACGATATGAATGTATGACATGCAGGTATTTCGGCTTCGTTCTTGGGCGCGTTGCATCCCTACCCTAGACCTATCTATACCCACTTGAGTGCACTCACTGTGGTGGATAGAGCAGGTGGGGGTGTGCTTCCTATTTGGGCTTGGCGGCGCAGCTTCTTTGCTCAATCCTCCTTGATGAGCTGGCTAGCTGGCTAGCTCTCTGTTCTGTGCAACCACGCCAATTTCCGGGACCCTGTGCCATGTTCGCTCCTGATGTCACATTGTCAACACAAGCTTGCGCCCAGAAGGCATCACGAGCCGCCTAGCTAAAGGGTATCAACAGAGGGAAAACGATCCTGTCCACTCTCTCGTGCTTATTGCGCTGCCGGCAAGATTTGACCCGTCATCGCTGCGCCATCCAACGATATCGCTGGCAGACACACACCTGCGTCTCCACCGCATTGACACTTCATCTTGCATATTCCATACTTTGCACGACGTTGAAGAGCCGACTGGCGGAGGCAAGAGACTGTCGACCATTCATTTCAGTTTTCCCATTTCCCACCACCTGTATCTCGAACGCTGCCTTCCGAACCGTACAGTACTGCAGGCCCAAGCTGGACAAAGCTGGACAAAGCTGGACAAAGCTGAACAAAGCCTGCCATTGCCATTGTCCTGGGTGGTAGTCCAGAAACATCACGAGACGCTGGATCTCTGGTACGCTCGAGCAACTCGTTGCCGACGGGGACTGTATACATACATATGTGTGTATATGCTTGGCTGACAGCCACTCTACTTTGAACGACACACTTGCAAGCAAGAGCGCTACCGTCTGGTTGGACGCTTGGATCAATCATCCTGCATATGGCGAGTTTATTGTATTGGCAAGCCGCTCTTTTGAACCTGTACGGACGCTGATTACGAATCAACGATTGCGGCTGCGGTAAGGACTCAAAACGATGGCATCCGAGGACATCAAATACAAGCACAATGGTGCAGCCTCTCCGGATGCGGCAGATGTTGAGCCGGCATTGACCCCTATCAGCCTTGCCAATACGGACAGCCCAGCGGGTAGTGGGTTCTCGCCGCTCGTAACTGTTGTAGGATTTCATCATGCTCGGGGACCCGAGGTGGAGACGTGGTTTGGTGCTGACGAGGGAGTCGATCCGGCTATCAAATACAACTGGCCACTATTGCCATTCATGGCACTGAGTGACGGAGCTCATGCGTACGTAGCGCCAGGACCCCTATTGTCCTCGAATCGAGGAGCAGTGTTGCTGACTGAAATACTAGCTCCGAAGAAGATTTTTCGTACTTTACACTACTGAAACCAAAGACCAATACGGAACCTGCCACATCACTCTTCGGAATATCGTGTACACGGCAACTGGATTCGGCCCAATTAATCAACCGCCCTGCTGATGTAACCAGATCAACAGTCCAAAAAGCTGTGGTTGTTATTGCGGATAGTCCACAGTCTTTTGGCATGTTGCGTGAGCGCCTCAGCATTGTCACCCAAGCATGGTTTGCCCAACGGGAATTCACAGACACCGAGATTCTGCGACGGTTTCAAGAAAGCCTCGCCGACGAAAAGGCTAGGGGCCTCATGAAGGAGGAAACTGAGCGTGACCAGCACTTGGGAATGAGTTTGCGGGAGTTCATACATGAGTTTAAGTGGCAAGCGCTAGTCTTATTGAAATGTTGCTTGCTCCAGCCAAAGGTATGCCCGATATGCTCTTTGTGTCTTGCTAGGCTAATGATTTTCAGATGCTTTTTTTCGGCTCAAGGTGTGATAGGCTGTGTATGGTGCAGTTTTCTCTCATTTCTCTGATACCTGGCTTGATCCGCAATCTGCAAGACTGCGCCGACCCCGAACTGGACAGCTACGAGAAGAAGCTTGCCAAACCTACAACTTTACAGAGTAGCAATCGCAATTCACTTTTGACTTTCATGGGGCTCCCGCTGCAAATCTTTGGCAAGGTTGGAACACACACACATATATTTCCGTAGCTACCTCAACTAACATATTTCATAGGGTGGCTTTTTCGGACCTTACACACCGTTGCAACAACTTGACATTTTAGCCGACTTTGGCACCAAGTCATATATGGTCGGCAGCACCAATTCGCTCTTGCTTCAGCAAAAGGATAGATACAGCGATGTCCTCATCAACTTGGACGAAAACACCGTCAGCATCACATCACCATCTCTCAAGGCGGCGCTAGCCTTGACACCTGCAGATCGTCGCTGGATAGACTTTCTAACTCATGAGGTCAACGAAACATGGGACGAGGCCAATCCTAGCAGACCCAAGAATATGCAGTACATTGGAAGTGAAGAGTTCATCAGATCACAGTTCGAGGCGTACATGCTGGGGCTTATATCATCTGTCAAGTTCCGCAACTTTCTCATTACCCAAGGCGAAGACCCCGCTACCCTCGGCGCCGACAGCGATCCTGCTGTAGACTTTGGCTCCGAATGGGTAGAAGCATGGAAAAAGACTGAAAACTACCGTATATGGGACGCTCACACTGACACAAATCTATTCGCCGTCTCGGAACCAAAACATCCTTGTGCGGGGGGTCTCACTATTGACGACATTCAACGCCGTGTCGCCGATCAAATCAAAGATCTCCATCTCGACGAGCGTCTCGCTCAGGGCCGCGATATACTCGGTCGCAACCTCGCCGCGGGCCGCGAAAAGGCCTCCACCATGTTAAACAAGCTCTACTCTGACGTGGAATACCTGCGTGAATCCCAACGGCGTCGTGCAGAAGACTCGCGCACCCAAACACCGAACTCGAAATCTTCCACAGAGAAGTCTCAGTATCCGGTGGATCTCACTAAAGCCCAACAAACAATGAACTCGGTCGGCGCCAAAGCATCCGCCTACATGTCCAGCTGGGCAACATGGGCCGGGGAGAAACGCAAAGCTGGCGGCTGGGCGTCCGGCTGGGGCGGCAAGAAATCCCCTTCCCCAAGCACGCACAGCAATCCCCCTATTCCCACTAGCCCCATCGACAAAGACTACCAAATGGTAAGCCCGCCTGATTCGAGGTCCACGAGCACAGATGATCCCAAGAGACCCGCTACACACGCCAGTTTCAGCGAGAGTATTCTGAGCAAGGCCTCTGACCGACCTGTTACGGAGTCTTCAGAAATGGATGATTCCTTTCAAGACGTCATGGGGTCACCCGAAAAGGTGAGCCACAAATCAAAGGACGAGGAGGATGTAACGCCGAAATTGAAGAACGACGGGTTCCAGCAGGAGGATGTTATGGGCGCAAAGATGAGTGAGACGGGGGACATGAGTGACACGTCGGAGGGCAAGGGCACGGAAGTCAAAGCCAGCGACTAGCGTCATTGATTGGCATTGTAATCGATTTAGTAGTGCCGGTGCGGAAGGGAAAGAGCATCAACTTGACATATAAAAGAGATGGGTATTTATGGCTGATGGGTTTTGTAAAATCTCTTTCTTAATAGAAAAGTTCACCCTGTCGATCACGAGGCCCATAGTTTGCTTATGGCGAATGGATATTTCCATGTATTATCTACTGGCTACTCGCTACAAGTCTGTATCACCTTTCTTTTCTTTCTTTGTCCATCCGTACTACCCTGGCCTTGTCTACATTCCCACTCATTCTTTTTGCCCATGCAACCTGCACCCGTCCAGTTTGCCCATCTCCACCCAGCAAATATAACACGAAGCGGAACCATGCTGCGCCGTGACCGATCCATTCCATACGGCGAGTAATACCCTAGAGTCGAAATAATATAAGAGTTACGTTTAGTAATGTCTTTTTTTTCAATATACTCTACGGACGCTATCCATCCCAGCTAATATGTCGTCGCAAAGGGAAGAACGCAATCGCATCCCAGGAACAGTGGGCACTTATGCAATCGCGGTGAGGAAAGTGAATGCCCGATGCGCCTGAGATAATATAACAAGAGGAGCCGGGTATGCAGCAATATATCATTTTTGTGCAATTCGTGATTTGCCATGGCAAATAATCCGCCAAAATCGTGGTCGTTGCTGTGCATACTGTGGAGGAGTGTGGTCGGGATATGACACTATGCGAGGTAACCCAGCTCATCGTCATCCAAGCGTTCAAGATACTCCTTGTCCAGGAGGATCTCAATACATTTTTTGATATCACCAACTTTGGGAACGAATCTCGAACGAATCTGGTTGATGGTTTCGCTGACAAGTTGAGTGTGTTTCATCTTCTTTCGTGCCTTCATGATTCGGACAATGGCCGACTGTCGACAAGGTTAGAAACGCGCCATCTACCTCTCCATCTTGAGAGGCATTTTGGGATGTGGGTGTGCTTACCTGAAGTACCAACTTGCGGTCCTCCTCAATGGTCTTGTTAGTCTCCGTCTCTTCTTGCTTAGCCTCCTTTACACCACCCAAGTTAAGGTTGACGCGAATCTTCTTGCTCTTGAACTCGTAGTTAAGGCTGAAGGACCTTCCGGGTTTAGGCCTTGCGCCCGAACCTCCATCCATCAGCAGCACTTTGGCCTTGAGGATGACGGCTAGTGCTTGATCCAGAACTTCAGTGCTCAGTTGTGTTGCGGTGACCATGTCATCATATGTGTAGGTGTCCTTCTCATTGAACAGCAAAAGAATAGCCATTTGGTAGATTGAAACTTGGAATGTGAATGGCGTTTTGCTGTTCTTGCAATATCCCGCCTTGACTTCACCTTTGCATAAATGCCACAACCAGGTCAATTTGCGCCCGTCATGCTTGTGCTTGTAGAATCGCGTAAAGCGCTCAATTTCTGTGGCAATTTCCACAGGCGGGTGAAAATGCGTTGATGGCGCTTGTAGGGGCCAGAAACCGGTACCCAAAATTGAGAAGGTTGAGTCAACCGTCTTGGCTGAGTCGACGCTTTCTAGGTGGCCCCGGAAGTCTTTGTTCAGGTCCTTTGAGATCTGCATGTCCTGGAACATGCGTTGTAGCTTGTTGGTATATTCAAAACCACAAGCCTCCTTGAGCTTGCTAATCATGCTCGTTTCGGCGTCGTCCGATGACGAGTTGCTATGTACCAGGCGTCGGGCCAACATCCGGGAGTAATACTTTTGGAATACATCCTTGTCCTCGATGTATTTGAAAACGGTCATAATCTGGGTCAAAGTCCGCTCCAAGTCGCCTTCTTCTATACTGGTGCTACTCTTACGGAGTAGGACGTCGGTATACTTGGCTAGGAGCTCTGGTGATTTTGTGGAAGTGTCCTTGCATACTTCGTTGCGATTTACGAACTCCCTGCATGCGTTGTCAAGCGAGCGAGTAAAGTCTGGCTCGTCATTGAATGCTTGCTTGACCAATAACTGATACTGGGAATGCACTTCAAGTAGTGCATCCACATATACTTTAGGTTCAAGCTTGTCACCTTCGGAGGACTGTACCTTCTGAACAGCGGCGAGACCAGCCTTGAGCACATGCTTTTCGAATTTAGTCCGCAATGGGTCCAGCCCGTCAGGAATTCTGGAAAGGAGGTTATACATTCTTGCCATGTCTTCCTCTCGTTCATTGTCCAACAGGAACTGGAACTCCTCCCGCAGCAACGTTGAGTGTTCGGCAATCAGAGCCGTGTTGCAAGTCTTCTTCAATGGCACGGCGATATCCTGATGCAAATACATGACGACTCTTTCCTCCTCTTCGGCCAGACGTACTTCGGCTTTTTTCATGTATTCAACAACGCTATTTTCAGCGACAAATTGTTTCGATTCGGCGGTGTAAAACTCTGCGGTAGCTTCCAAAAAGGGCCTCTCAAAGTGGTAGCGGTAAACGTCCAATGTAGACCTCGACATGTCGGCTTCATCCAGACCAAGGGATACAAAGGAGTCGACAACTTGTTTGATCTGGTTGTGTTCAATCGTCTCGCCATTTCGCTGCTTCTCCACTAGCTTCAAGACGGCGTCCATTACCTTTCCGGAGACCTGCTCGAACAAAACCTTGCGCCACTGTACGAGGTGGAGAGTGTAGACATCGTACACGTTCTTCTTACCCTCATCGATTTCTCTCTTGACCCAGTGACGGTTTAAATATCGGAAGAGATGGTGGATGTATTTTGCCGCATTGGTGTATCGACTCCATTCCTTGATGTAGTATGCCAGCAGTGCCTCGTCGGTGTGCGATTTGGATGCCTCTACAAGATCTTCGAGATGCTTCTGGAGGTAGGTAATGAGGTTGTTGTAGAGTTCTTCACCTAGGAGATGGGCTATGCAAGAACGAGGAAATTAGCTGAAACTGAACGTCGAAGATGTCAACGCATCGATGTGCTATGTGACAACTTACCACCACGGTGGTTGGACTGCATGGCTGGCCCGGTGAGACCAACGGCCTTTTGTGAGGTGCAAAAGTTGTGAACGGCGCTGTGTATGATGGCAAGTCAGCACATTATTATATTTACCATCATTCTGAAGGCGAGAGCTCGATGAGCAGAGACGGCAAAGCACGCACGTGTAGACACCCATATACATTTGCATGTCGATTCCTCTCTCTAGCTCGTTCATGATACGAGTGATGCCAGTCTGGAGATATTGCCATCTGAGATGCACGACAGGTCAGCCATGTTTTGTCGATCAGCAGCGGTCGGCTAGGAGCATCTTACGTCGCCCCGATGTCCTCCCTATTAGGGACTGGAGGCATCTGGCTAGGAGTGGCCATGCGTGCAGCCATCCTTCTGCTGGAGAGACGGCGTGGCGGCGGTCGTCACGAACAGGCAGCGCGGGGTTCGAGTCAAGAGTCGTGCGGGCCAAGGAGCACGCGGCACACGAGGGAGAGACAAGAGTTCGGATTTGCGACGACAACAGCGGCCAAGGCAGATTGGCGAGAGGGGTGAGAGGAAGTCTCCGAGAAACGTCCTGGCGGCGGAGGTGCAAGGGACTGCTTCGAGACAGGGTGCGGTCTTGGACTGTTGAAGGGGATGGTCAGGCTGAGGTGCGGCGCGGATGCAGGTTGAAGGATAATGCACGAGGTCAGAGTTGGAACGGAGGCCAAGGCTGCGATACGGTGCCGTCTGGAGCTGGCGAGCGTACCACGGGAACTGTTGGCGATACGCAATGATCAGATGGCTGCAGCCTGGTCTGAATCGCGGCAACGAAGGGATTCGCGGGATTAGAACAAGGATGCGGTCGAGGTGTTTCACAAAAGGGAAGGCGGATGTCGTGACCAGTGGATTGACTAATTGTTCATCCAACTTTGACATCGAAATAACCAAGAACCCAGCCGCCACAGGCAGGCGGCAGTCCAAGTGCCCGTCCGCCTGGGTCGGTCAGCCTCGAGACATGCCCCAATGTGCCGAAGTACTTGGGCACCGAACCTAATACCAAAAATACCACGACCAAAAGTGGGCTAGCGCAAGGCTTGCATCCCAAGGCGGGAGCCGACAACTAAGACCATTGAATCGCCGTGGTTGAAGCAGTGCGGCTGCAGCCACTGATTTAGAGCGAGGATTGCGATTGGGGCCACCGAGTATATTGTACATGAAGAAAGAAATGAAGAAAGTAGAGAGAGCTAACTATAGGTGCAGCCAAGGCTCAGAGGCCTATGTAGGTAGCTCGGGTGTAGAGTACTATACTACCTGATAGGTACCCAGGTACTCTGGAAGCCAAAGACCACGAATATTGACTCCGAAAATCTAAGAAATGTAAAGCCAAGAGCGGTGCATCTCATGTTCAAACTTAAAACGATGCAGAAGTGCTACCCGCAACAAAGCTAGCGAGAGATAGCTAATCCGCATACATACGTCTTTGCGCGTAGGCCTGACAGTCCCCATAAAAAACCTCGTTAATCTGTCAAAGTTTCACGCATAATTGACTTTGTCGGCTTGTTGGCTATACCTGGCTTCAATGCTCAGAATGTCCATGGGCAAGTACCCTGTGATATACATCCTTTGATGCCAAAATGTTGGTCATGATACGCGTACATATGCCAAAGTAAATGCCGCTTGGAAAGGACGTACCCATATCAAAACAATATCTACATACCTACCTAGGTACCGAGGAATAGGTAGGTTAGTCCATATAGTACTGGTAATGGCTGCATCATGAATGTACCATATAATTATCATTTTGCTTGGAAAAAGGAGAAAAAAATATAAAGTGTAAAATATAAACGAAGAAAAAAATAATTAAAAAAGACTTAAAAACCTTTGAACGCTGACAATATACTCACAATGGTGAAGAATTCCCCCGTAAAAACTCCTCATATCTACATTGAACATCCCTCGCCCGTCCTCATCATACACCACTTCCATCATTATCATCCCCTCCACCTCCTAGCCGCTTGACGGTTCGGAAAACGTTGATTGTAAAAGTCATCGACCAGGAACAGAGGCCAATGAGCTGGAAGACAGCCAAGGCCACGGACAAATGGACGAGTTGGTTCTGCCGCACATTATGATATATAAAACTTTCAAACGCCAGGGCCGTGCTCGCAGACTTGAATATGATGAAGAACAGGTCCAGCAAAATCAGCGAGATCTTTGACATGGCCGACCGTAGACCCAGCGGTTTCCCCGTATACTCGTCCCATATCATATACCCAATGTAAGGAATTGCTAAACAGTCCACTACGATGGCAACCACTACCTGGGCTCGCTCAGCGCCGTTGCTCTGGTTCATGCTGTTTTCTAGCTGATATATTCGAGCCGCGATTCCAAGTGCCAAAATCGAAGTCACCATTACGCCCAACCGGAATAGAAATGGCGACAGCGGATGCCGCATTATTCGGTTCCAGATATGCCTTGGTAGAGCTGCCAACTTTCGATGATGTTTGACTCGCACGTCTGTGTGATGGAATTGGACATCCGTCTCCTTATTGAATGTCGGCTGGAGCTGATCGAGGACCTGATGATCGACGACCTGGGATTCTTCATTGGGCATCCGTCCCCAGGCTGACGACCGTACAAAGTCAAACCATGACGATTTGCTCTGGGTTGGAGCTGGTCTGTAGTGGGAGACAATGACGGGTTCGTTGGAACGCAAGTGATCCCACTTCCTACCGCGCATAGAAGCGCGTCCATATCGAAGGAAATGAGGGATTTTGGCCCGAGCACTCTGGGCTGGGCCTAGAGACGGATCATCCCAGGCGACGAAGCCATCTTTGGAGACACGGCGTTGAGGTGGATTTGGAGAAAAATTGGCTTGATGCTGCACGATACGCGCTGGTGGTTGCAAAAGACGAAGCTGTTCATCGCTAACGGGCCCGTATCTCTCCTCGTAGGAATCAATCCAAGCTGTAGTCGAGTGAAGGCATTGTTAGCAAACAGTAGTTTCGAAAGCTTGTGCACTGCACTACAATACAGCAATCTCGGGCAACACATACGGGGAAGAGTCCTAGGAGGTCGGAGGCGAAGGATAGGACTCTCAGTCGCCACCTCTGATAGATATGCATGTCTAGATGTAGTCGGTTCGGACGAGCTTGATTCCGCAGCGGTTGGAGGAGGCGATGACGATGGCGCAGCACACGACGCTTGGTCCTTCATCGCGGCTAATCTGTGTGCTACCCGAGCAGCCACATGGGTTCATCACCAGCGGCTTGACGATTAGCAGCTTTGCATGATTCCTTGGTGCTGCGTGGTATGTTGAAATGCCATCTAGAGATGTCGCACATGCGATGGCCGTTACATCAAGTTTACGCGACCCGAGATGCGAGCTGGCTGAGGTGCTGTCATGAGTTTTGATGCGGGATGATCGGAGTTCTTATTTCTGGCGTGCTCTGAAGTGCTGCTGTCTTGGGTGTCTGCAGCTACCAATTGGCGCTTGGCTGTACGGCGTAGAAGCGAGTTCAATGTTTGGACGGAAAGCGAGGCCCATGTTGAGCAGGGGCCTGGTCGGTCATGAACGAGTCGTTCCTGCCAAGTATGGCTTGCGTTCACTTGCGCCTTCTTCCGTCACCTGATGGCGCGCTACAGAGCCACAGAGCCACAGCAGCCAACCACTTTACGCACTCTTCACACGCGTTGCCTTTCGCAGGGCGTGACCACGATTTGACCTTGAGACTCGACAACATTGGCGTTTGTGTTGCATGCAATCAATGCTAGAGCGTTCGCACTTCCAATGATTTTGAGGTTAACGGTCCGATGCTCAAGTCATTCACACCAACCTGCCCGTGCTTTGCAGCTCACCTGGGATACCTAGGTAGCTAGGCTTGGGTTTCCATCAACGAACAACTTTGACTGAGCTTCGCCGAGAAAGCTGGCCAGCTCGCATCGGGTATCCCTCGAACCCATGCAACTTACAGCCGCTCTCAGGGTGCCACCAGCATCAACATGCAACCAGGTCTCAAAGCAAAGAGCCGTGGGCTTCAGGCATTTGCTCGTGGCAAGTCCGACAGCAACGCCAACTACAATACTGTCACCGAAAAACCGTCTCAACCACAGCCAGAGAAACGCTCAGCCACGCCAAATGCAATTGAATATGTTCCGAGCCGACAAGAACTAGCAGAGTTTGCCCGACTTCCTCTACCTGGAGCTGTCCGCAAACCGCTAGGTAGTCCTCGCCTCGGTGGTCAGCTCAGTAACCCGCAGAAGCCTCAGTCACCACTAAGACGAGGTATTGCATCACCAGTCAGACAATGTGTGGACCAGATGCAAGCAAACCACCAACCGCAGCATGATATCTTCACCGGTTCACAGCTTGGGGAAAATTTTATGATGTCAGGGCTGTCAACCCCCGTGAATGAATCTGAGGACATAGTCATCAGACGAACTCCAGACATCAAGATAGAAGACTCACGCCAAGATCGTAATCATATTCAAAGACTACCACCTAGGCAGGCGCCGGTCACCACGAGCCAGAAGCATGAATTCGCGCTTGGTGCAGATGGTCGACTCTCTGTTGTCCCAGGCATGCACCGCTACCATCCATCACATATGAAAGATGGATTTTACAACAACGATGCTCAGCCCGGCCCAAGGCCATTCAAATCACAGAAGTCGGCCTATAGTCTCCCAATGCAGTCAGTTCCTGCCCACGCAAAGTTGCCAATGCGCGGAGTTCGAATCAACCGTGGACAGCTTCCAGGAACCAATGCCCTAATCATTCAAGAAGATAAGGTTAAAGACAACTTTATTGAACGGAGGGATGGACAGTGGCAAGAACAGACAGCCGACGAGAAATTTAACGAGTCCATCCTTGTGAACGATTCGGATGACGACTTTGACGCTCTTGGCGCATTTGGCGGCATACATACGGCGCCCAAGCCCAATATGCAAAATGGACATCGCACGAGGAGAGAAGATGGCGTATCTTCGAAATTTTCCCGAAATGCGCCGGCCAAGGATAAAAAGCGTAGACGACAAAGCTTAGACTA